CCTACCGCCACCACCCACGCCCCCTTTTCAACCCCAAACACTCCCACTTTTCCCTGGCATTTCATTTGTATTCGAAGCATTGTGTCCTGCTGAACATTCTTAATTAGGTTAAATCTACTGTGCGACGCTCCGCTGTTCGCCGGGTCTTGGGTTGGGCCTTAGGATTTGGGTCCGGAATGGGGCATACACGGACAGGAGTCCGTAATGAAGTCAGTCCTTTCGGGGTGCAGGGGCAGCAGAACGCGTGTTCGCCATTTGACATAATTTAGTACCCCGCCGGCCGCCGAAGACACAAAACTCATATTTGCAATTTAAATCCTGGAAATGAAACAATTACAAACTTTATCGACTGCCATCAAGGCCTCCCTTTCTCCCTTTCCCCGGCCATGTGTGGACCCACTTATGGGCGCAACTAATGGGGGACCAGGATCCACAAGGATTACAGTAGGCAATTTCTATTTCAAATGAAGCGTGAAGGAAATTTAAAATTAACAAAGAAAAGGGGTCGTGTGAAATATATTGTTTTCACTGGAAATAACAAACAAGAAATATTTCATTTAATAAATAAAACTTGTCTTTTTTAAATATGAAAATAAAAATGTATAAATCTTAGGTGCAAAACTCATCTCAGTTTTATTCTACTACTACTTTACTTTATTTGCGGAATTATATTTTTTCCTAACTGCATTCCAGAGATCCCTCGAGCTTCTCATAAAAGCCTGCTGTCAATCTGCTGCCAGCTCGGGCGCTTATTATAAATGAACTCAAATTTAATTAAGAGTTTCCCATATTTTGTTTCAGTCTGTCCGGGCACTCGTCTCATGGCTCGCCATCATTATCATGGAAGTAATCATCCTCAAGATCCATTTCAGGCTTCATCACGAATATTGTTAACGTCGTTGTGCGGCCGGCCACTCCAGGTTGGGCGCCCAAAAAATGTTGTTAACTAAACTTTACGCAAAATAACACAGGATGGCAGAGCACAAAACCGTAACCGTAAACGTGGCCAGGAAAAAAAAAATTGAAAATCGCTTCATTCGCGTTGCCACAAAAAGAGGCACTTTCTGGCTCTCTCTCTTTGGCTGCCAAAAGGAAATTTTGGGAGAAAATCCGGCTTGTGTGAGTGTCCTTTACCCCGTGTCAGTGTCCTCTCAGCCTGCCGGCTGTTTTCCCTTTTATTAAATTGAATTTCGCCCTCGGACACGGGACACGGACTGGGCCCAAGAATTCAAAATGAGACCGAGGCGATATGTTTATGATGCCACTTGTCTCGCAAATACAATTTTCTTATTTCTCCCATTTGGTGTTCATATTTTAGCGCGTGCCCCATGACAATTTCGTAGCTTTTAAATTTGCTTTGACATATATTGAAAGCAACCCGAACACGTCCCTCCTCCTTCCGTTAAGGGTTCGGTCCGGGAAATCGAATTAAAAACTCATCTTTGCTCAATTTGTGTCAGCTCCTTGCCATGTTGTCCCCGGCACCCACATTTTTCGCACATCCCGAGTATCCAGTCGCTTTCGGAGATGATTTGGGCTCGTGTCCTGCCCAAATACCATCCATCTATCCTTGCCAGCAGCCTGCGCATGTGTGTGTGTGGCAGTGTGTTTGCCTTTTTATTGTTTTACTAGCAGAAAATCTGTTTTATTCGTACGCTTTTATTGTTGCTACGAGTAATTTAATGTGTATTGCATTTAAGCTAATATTTGAGTTGTTGCTCAGAGGTTTTAATGCCGCTTTTACGATCTTTTTACGGCCTTTTTATTTGCTGACCCTGTCACTGGTCAGTGAGTGGCCCAAGGCAATCGTTGCCGTCGTGTTGCCAACTTTACTCAACTAATTTCAAGCAATTACAGCCGGTAAGAGGAAAAGAAGGACGCCAGGACGAGCCCCCTTTTATTAATTATAATTTCCCTCTGCCAATTGCTCCATTTATGAGGAACAACACCGATATCAATCATCGTAAAAGGCCAGTGCTCCAGCCTGAAATAACCCTTTAAGGACACATTAGACACACTTGGCCGGATGCTTTGTGCGATTGTGTGTGGGTGTGTCCCTTTTTGGGTTATGGGTGAAATGTGCGAATTCTTCATTGGCTTTCTTAATCCCAACTTGGCTGGCGGCGGGTCACATCAAAGGCTGGCCACAGCTGGAATGCAAACAAAGATAATCTTGGCCTCGATTTATTTACCTTTCGCTGACCAAACCAATTTGCGATTTTAATCAAAGTCGAGTCGGAGCAGCCGGATGAGCAGAAGCTGCCATCAAAGCAAATAGTTGAGCTGCTGTCACTGGCGAGGGCAAAGGGCAAAGGGCGCTGGACGAAGGTCCGGGCCAGCCAGCTAATGCCCAGTGTCCAACCTAATTTGACGCTGACGAGAGAGCAGAGATACTCGGACGGAATGTTCGCCTGTCTGTTCGTCAGCTCCTCCAACTGTCTAACCAAGCAACTGACTGACTGACTGACGGACGGACATGTCGGCCGCCGGTCTGTGCATAATGCTTATTACCACAATCATTTACAGTAGTTGGCCATGGCCCTGTTTTCGAAACCTGAACCCATGGACTCACGACTGCGGTCCCGTTACTGCTTTTGTCCTGTTCCTGCTCTCTGGTCGCCCTCCATTCCAAGAGGAATGCAATATGCAATCTCCAGGCAAACGCTCCTGACTCCCGCACATTAGTGAAAGTGTTGTGAGCAGGATGGGTAATAAACAACTGAACTGAACTGGCACACTATCTATGCCATTTCACAGCCTGTACACTGGGTAAACTAATGAAATACATTTCCAAATAACAATCAACAAGTTGAAGAATTATTATTAAAACTATAAAAAGTATGTCAAATTTTGAAGTCTATATACTATATGTACATTGTCTTAATATAAATAACCACGTAAGTTAACAATTTTTTCCAGTGCAAACTTTAGTTACATTCAACAGTTTCCACTATTTAATGGCGATCTCCGGGAAGCTAGCTCTCCAACTGGTTAACACTCAGAGGCGCCTGCATGTGCGTTAGTGCGGTGTCATGTTGGCTATTATGAATTGTGCAATTGTCGTCAACGCCAACGCGTTGCCCTCCACGATTTTCCTTTTCTACCCTTTGACGTGCTCCATCTCCAGTTGAGCTGACAGACAGTCAGTCAGCCAGGCAGTCACTTCCCCCACTATTACACTGCTCGTGTTAGTCACTTCTAGTGCTTGGTTTCATTCCGATTGCCTGCTCATCATCCAGCAGCTCTTTGTTTGCGCCCAGCAGCGAGGGCGGCACACACGGCGTATACTGAATGCCGTCTGCGTTCGCCTTCGTATGCCTGCATTTGCCGCCATTTTTCAAGCCACCACCACCACTACGACCTACGTAGTAGCACTACCAGCATTGTTTTAGTTATTGTTGCTGCTCGGCACTCCTGGTAAATGACTCTTCAACGTTTGTCGTATTTGTCTGGCAGCAGCGGCACTTTGAAGTGCCAAATATTTTTCCATTTGTATACGGCTGCTTTTGTCATTTGTTTCCATGACGAATGTTTGCTGTACAACACCCTGATTGCCCCTCAAAAACTGGAATTTATAATATCGGCACTATTCTCTCTTCATTAGGCCACCAAGTGCTGCAATCAGCCAGGTCGGCGGTTAATCAAGCGAGCAGGTATTTAATTAAGTTGGGCTTCATTACGGTCTTTGGGCCGTAAAATCTTTTACCGGCATTTCACAGGGCTCCGCTCGGAGCAGGAAATGAGGGTGAGTGGGTTGCATCGCTTTAACATTTATGCGATTTTCCGGGGCGCATCAAAGTCATCAAATGAAACCAACAGCCATGAGGATGTATGTATATATAGAATTGCAAATATATATTCGGATTCACCGCTCCGGGTGTGAGTCTGTCAGCTAGTTTGCATTCATCAGAGGCAGCGGAAACGGCAGCAGCCATTGACTGACACCGTCCTCCAGTATCATCAACACTCCCCGCATCATCACCATCATCATCGTCGTCGTCATCATACCCATCTCAAAGATTTACATGACAGCTGTTGCAGTTGCCGCTGCGATTCGTTCGCCATTCATTTGCTGGCAGCTCCTGTGATTGCTTGTATTAGTGATTGTCAGTTGGCTAAAAGGAGTGGCTGTCTCTCCGTTTGATTGCCATTGCATCACGTAAATCTCTTATGCTTATGAATATGCGAATATGCATTGCGAATTTCGAATTGCGAATGGCGAATTGTAAATAAAATACCATCCATGTTTGTCGCTGCGTATTGATTGAAGTGTGAGTCCTTCCATTATGCGAGTGCAACTATCATTGGGGCTCTTGAAAGAGCTCTGAGCGCTTTGTGAATTGTCGAAAAGCAATTTATTGATTTCTCGCTGCGCAAATGAATGGCGCCCAAGGCAATCCCCTGCCCCCGAAAATCACCAAACAATCCATGTGCCATTGTGTATGCTGTCGACAGGAGCTTGAGTATTTAGGCTATTAACACGCAAAGGTCGCCGAATAATATTGATTATGACCGCTGGCCAGACGGCGGCCCAAGTCCAAGTCCAAGTCCCACAAACGATAACAAATAACAATAACCAACAATCGGCGCAAAGAGTCCGTCTTTAATTTGGGGCAGGGTTTCGTCTGGGCCATACTTTGGGGTTGGGTTTGTATTTCCAAACTGTGTTGGCTCACCCCGTCTGGCCGTCTGCCAGCCACTCAGCCGTGGAAAACGTTTAAGGGCGAGTTAAAGTCTACTTAAATTATAGCCGAATGGATGCAATTAATTCGATCGTATGTTATTATAGTCAGTTTTCAATAAAGCTTACAAGGATGAATGCTTGATTAATATTCCTTTAATTGCTCAAAGGCCAAAATCGTTTAATTTTAGTAATTTAATATATTTTAAGATAATTTAATCCTTTGGAATTTAAAGCTAAAATTACTAAAGGTAATTTATTGTCTATCGTAGCCTTAGCTTTATTTTCTATTCTAAAGAAAAATAAACCAAATGTAATATAAACAAATATTATCAGAATTTTACTCAATTAAATTATTTTCTCTACACTATTTAACAAGATATGGTATGAATGTCTCTAAAAACTCCTTTCAAGATTTAAAAACGCGTCTTGGTGATCTTTGCTTGTATCCCGTTTCTCTCAACCTCCGCCTCTTTGATGGCTTGGCGTACGACCTGTGGCGTGATTGGTAAATAAAGTCATAATTAAACATTTATATAAGCTTTTCCAACAAATACCACTCGTCCTTGGGCATGAAAGCGTTGCACAGCAATGCGTTTACAATGTGCAGCACGCCAGCTATGATGCCCAAGCAGCTGGACACGAAGAACATGTAGCGGTACTTGTTGCCGCAGTGCGCCACCGTGGCCACCAGCAGGGTAAGGGCAGTGCCTATGCACACCAAGCCGCTAACAAAATTGAACAGCATCGCCTGCGGACAACACCCGTTGGGAACATATCAGCACCGAACTCTGTAAATACGCACAATTGGATCCAGGCCCACGGTGATGAAGAACAGCCGAAACAAAGCGAGAATCACACTCTGCAGGGTGATGGCCGGCAGGAAGCATAGGTAAAGCCACACCGATATCCCGTACTCCTGGCCCAGGACGCAGTGTGTAAACAGTATTTTTATGAGAAAATACAGGGCCACAAGCTCGAGTACCTAATGGACAATAAGTTAATACCATCGAGACCTCAAAGATGCCAATCTCAATCACCGCCGTAAGAACCAGCAACAAAAGGTTCACTATTCGAAATTGCCAAGCCATAAGGTAACAGGAAATTTTTGACAATTCTCTGACACTATAACAAAAGATGTCACAATCGAAAATTGGGGAGAAACGGGCTTATTATTTTTTAAATACTTTTCCATCATTCGTAATCAGGTCTAAATCATGAAAAGCTTTTACTACCAACTAGACTTGGCATAAACGCAGTATCTGTTTATCCACTCGGCAGTCACATTTTATAGCTTTCTGTTGTACCCTTCGGTTTTTATTTGTACTTTTTCTGTTTCGCCTTGTTTTGTTTTGGCCCTGCTAATCTAATTGGCCTCGATAGCGCTTGTTGAGAGAAGTCGTTGCCCCGCCACGCATTTGTTGCTTTGTTTGCACTAATTTCATTACTTGTGGAATGTGGCGATGATTTCATGCAATTTAAAGCCGCATTTTTCAGTGGCAAGGCATTTAGCATTGTACGAGTACCTGGTCGGATCCCGGGATCCAAAAGCCGTCCCATAGAGTCGTTGAGCCGGGCCCTGACCCACTCCAGGCTTTTATAATAATTGCCTGTTGACACGGGATGGCCGGGAGGCAAGTTGGAAGCCACAAGAACGTGAGTTTGGGGTTGGGGCTCGCAGCTCGGACTGGGATCGAGCAATGGGAATGCCGTTGATAAATGAAATTTTCAAAACGTGAACCAACAAAAGGGGACAGAAAACAAACGAAACCAAAAAAACCGAACAGGACTGAAACACAAAACAAGCGGAAAAAGGGGGCGGCAAATATAATTTCATTTGTCCGCCTTCGAAAAGGTGCTCGACCCTCTCCTTTCGTCTCATTTTCTATATCCCAAACGGGGTTAGGTAAAGCGTTGATTGAGCAAAAACACTTCATTTATTAAAAAGTCCCTTCACTGGTCGATACTCTTTCAAGTCAATTGCCAAGGGTTGGGCCAGTCTCCCGGGCGACATAAATTTTGTCAGCTTTGCTGAGACAATTGCATATTAGCCGAACATGACAACGATTCGCCTTTCGTCTTTTTTTTCCATGTGAAAATTCATGGGAAAAATGTTCAAGAGACAAAAACTTTCGACTTGAAAGAGATGCGAAGTGAAGTGAACTCCCCAGAGCAGTCGAAAGGAACTGAAACCGAAAAAGTAGCAGCAGCAGCAGAAGGAAGAGAAATGTTCTCGAATAAACAACAGCGGAAATGTAGGCTATGATTTGCTTACTTGCCAGTGGCACAGGGGCGTGGGGCTGATCCCGCCAGGGGAGTTGGCCCAATGACAAGGGCGGCGTGGCAAAAGTTCCGAGACGCAGAACGGGAGCTGGCAAAACATAAATCAAATGCATGTAAAATTTTGTACTTTCCGCACACATATCCTGATCCTGTGCAAGTGCATTGGGCAGCCCCTGGGCAGGACAGCCCGAGGATTGGGCGGGAAGGACGGCTCGGGGGGCGGCATATTGGTGGCTCTATTGGGGGGCAGCGTACGGCAAGTGTGAGCGGGTGTGCGTTGTGTTTTGTGCACATCCGTTAACTTTGTCATTTTTGCTCATTTCCTTCCGGCATGTGCAAGAAAACTGCACTGGCAGCAGAAGGAGCAGGGCCAGGAGCTAACGGAATGATTCCCAGCAGTGCTCCACTGAGCCGCCGTGCCACTGAGTCACTGAGCCACTGACAAGTCGTAAGCCGTAAGAAACCCAACCGAACAGCAAACACAGGGCTGGCTGGCGAAACAAAAGCAATGCGGAAAGCGGCAATAAGTTGAGGGCATAACTTTCAGTGCCATCAAGAACACACAGTCCAGGAGCGTATGGCTAAAAGGGGATCATATAATATTTTATGGTATAAATGTGGGTATTTTTCAATCAATTTTTAATGCAATTAAAATCACTAGAGACCAAAACTTTGATTGAAACTATCACCAATTATTTTTTTGTTTTCATTTTACTATTTATTTAATTAAAATTCCATTAGCCTACATGTTGTTAATATAATTTCAATGCTTATATATACAGTAACTGATTTAAAATTAGTTTTTTATGCATATTCAATGTTGATAAAGTCAAAAATCGTATTGAAGTTTATGACTACGCCTCTGCCTCGAGCCTGCAGAAGCCCAAAAGGGTGAGAAGCACGAGCATTTTGCATGAAATTAGAGTCGTAAGACACAATAAGAGGCAAGCAAAAAGTCTTGGGTCTATAACTTGCTTGTTGGAATTTAATTATTTTGCAGTTGCTGTTGCCTTTGCTGTTTCGGTGCTGCAACTTGGTCACGGGGGACTTATTTTTTGTACATTACAAGCCACACACCCCGCCGCCCCCTGGCCGGGAATCATGTGCCAAAAATAGCAAAACTTTGCTGCAATTTTCATTCGCATTTATTGTGTTGACATGCTGCCACACTGCGTATACGTATTACGTATCCTTGATGCAGCCAAACAATTTATTTATTTAAGTCGAGTCGTGTTGAGTTGCAGAAGATGGGAGGTGGGTGTCGTGGGGAGGTACATACATACATACATACGTAAAAGGCGAGAAAACTTTTTCCCCCATGTGTTTGTGCTGTTGAGGACTGGAAAATAAAAATATTTGTACACTTTCCGTTGTTTGCAGTGTCTCGCATCCGATTAGATGGCTTTTACTTGGCGGAACAGAAGTTAACATAAGCCCCACACCACCTGCAGTGCCAAGCATATGCATTCAAAGTCAAAGCCACATTAATTAGCATGCTTAGCTGACTTTTATCAAAAACCAATTAAGTCCACACACACAGACTCTCGGCGGGCACAAAGTAAACTTGATAATTAAATGACTCTGTGTGAGTGGCTTTGAGTTCAAAGTTGGCAGCCAGCTAAAACTCTCTGAGCATTGCTTTTTTATTTCTCCTTATTTTCTCTGTGACACATGCGACGGAATGTACTTGAAAAAAAATATAAAAAAATTAAAATATATATGCATAAAGGCCGGAGAGCGAGGGGAACTAGGGGAGCATTAAATAAAAATCACAAATAACATTATTAACGTTAAATTAAACTTTGAAATTTTGTTTGACCCGGCCCCCGGCCAGGAGCGAAGGAGTCAAAGGAGTAACTTTTCAGAGTGAATAAAAGTACATTAAAACAGGAACCGGAAGCGAGAGCAAAAGCTTGTTTATGTTTACCGTAATCTGCGGCTCGCTCTCAAAACATAATCAAAGACTTCAAATAAAGCCGCAGAGTTGGCTGGATCCGGGCTCCAGAATCCTGAATCCTGTGCAGAAGCGGTGGTCGTAATCGAGCATCTTACCTAGCCAAGCCCCCTCTAAGGGTAGTGTGATTTTTACCAGATTTTTTTCCCCCTCCAGCACAGGAGGAGCTTCCGCCCCCACCCGATTTTCCTCGACTTTCTTCTATTTGTCAAGTTGCAAGCGTATGCGTGACACGTAGTAAATTAAATGTGAAACTCTGTAGCAGAGTGTAGCTAACCGAGAGTTTAGTGTTTGTGCGGGTGAGTGTGAGCCCCAGTCGACTTGGAGTGGCTACAAAGAATGCTGTTGAGCAAACGTTGCCGCATAGAAATAGCTATGGCCATGTATGGCCGCATTCCCATTCTCCTGGCCCGGCTATAAATCATCAAAGTTCAACGTTTGCCATTTTGTCTACAATGTGCAAGAGACTGTGTGTGAGTGTGTGTTCGGGTGTTTGTACCCAAATGTGTTTGCTTTGCAATTTCCTTTTATTTATTTAAAGTTCTTTAGCAAACATGGCGCTTATCGCCCCCCGCCCCCCTGCAGCAGTCTCCTCAAAGTCCCCGGCAATGTTCACATCAAGTTTTCTGCCAAAAGTTTTAACAAGTAATCTTTTAATTAAGTGCCAGAGCCATCCTCAGACATCTCCTCAGACACTCTGGCATTCGGCAAATTCCGGGCATCACAATCACCGAATTATGAGCGCAACAGGAAGGGAATGTGCTCGGAAAAAGGCAAACGAAAATCTAATTTGATTAATGGTCAAATGCTAAGCTTAATTAGTGGAAGCAGCGGCAAAAAACGCGCCAAACCAACTGGAATCGGCATTAATGGTTGCCACACAAAATCGGAGGGAATAAGAAATTAAATAAATAGCCACAAAGCAACAACTAATTGCGCCACAAACGACAATGGGAAGGCAGCCAGTGAAAAGGAAATGCGGTGGAAAAACGCGAAAAGGGAACAAAAGTGGAAAGTGGAAATATTTCGCAACTAATAAAAACATTGCGGCGTACTAAATCAACTGGAAAACTGTAAAACACATTGAAACAAAGGTGAGTGCGAAAAGTGGAATGGCAAGGTAACCGGAAAACCAGGTGGAGACGGTGAAAATAAATGAGAAAGATGGTAAATAGTTTTCCCCGGAGGTCCAGCAAGCAGAAATAGTAATAATGGCAACTGCCATTTGACATTAGTTTTCTTTCGCATGAACATTTATTTTTCCTGCGGCCCTAATTAAGGAGATTGTCATGAGTATAATTGCGCCACTTAAGCGAAGCGATTCCATAAAAGAACATTTTCTGTAATATGCATATAATAATGCAAGCTCTTGCAAGCTTAATTTCTTTTGAATTGGTTCTTTTTTTAATCTGAAAATTACTATAATGAAAACTGAATTTAATTTACTGTAGTCACCAAAAATTTAGAAAAGAGAATAGAAGAACATATGGATATTATTTTACAGCGCACAAAACAGTTCACTTTTACAAAAGTTCACTCCTCTGAGTGGACTGTGGACAATTTTTTCTTTTTTTTTTTAATTCCCTGGGACCAGCTCACATTTCATACAATTGCAATTCGGAGTGTACATTGTCGGGAGACTCTTTTTTATCGCCGGGTAATTGGACTCCGCTTTCAATTGCCCGGCTCCCTAAGCGCCTCTTGAGTTCTCAACCTTAATTGCACTTTAGCAACGTTTCGGCTTTGTTTGTGTTTGTGTTTGTGTTTGACCAAATTTCACTACTGCTGCCGTCGGTCCCTCTTGATCTATGGATTGATTGATTGATTGTTTGGCTGATTGTTGTTCGAGTGCCTTGGCCAAAGGGGAAAAATATTTGCATAGATTTAACTAATTGTCGAGGCCAGCTATATATGTATGTATCTCGGGCTTAAAGCAAGTGCATTCCACTTGAGTAAATATTTGCAAATGGATTTTTTACCCCAAACACAGAGACACACACTTTAAGCCCGTTTGTCGGGTTAGCCTGGCTATTAATTACAGCCGTTATTAAGCCCGCCGAGGAAGAGTGAAGAGTTATTTGCAAAATTGACAGCAGATCAAAAGCTAAACGACAATCATAATTAAGTTTCCAGCCAAGCGATTTCAATTAGCTGAAACAACAACAGCAACACTGAGGCCAGAGGTCAGTACCCAGCCAGCCAATCAGCCAGGCTCAAGACCCTTTTGGTCGAGAGTGCAAACAACGAGACGGAAACTTGGTCAAAGTTTAGCGCCAGCTGCCTCTAATTAAAGCTGAAAATCTGGCCAGCGTCTCGACTGAAAAACTAGCGGGGAAGAAGGGACCGACGCTAAGCCACTTTTCCAAGATAAACGACACTTTTGGCCATTTGTTCGGGGCCCCATTCTGAGCGCTTTTTGGCCAACACATATTTGGGGCATTTTCGGGTATACTTTTGAGGCCACATAACATTTCAATTTCCTGGCCATGAATAATGGCAACCGTCCAAAAGCTGCTGCTGGCCAACCAGCACTCGGAAAAACGTAAGCAAACGATTTGGCCTGGCTTTTATGTTTTTATTATAAGGTTTAAGTTTCTATACTGCTGTAAAAAAGTTAAAGTTGAGTGAAGAAAATTAAAGAATATCCTTAAAAAACTATGATACATTATTTTCCCCTGTGCAGTAGTAAATTCCTATTCCCTGAAATGGAATACCTGTACCAGGTTCAGTCAAAACCTTGGGGCCAAGTTTTGCGGCCGCCTAATTGGGACATGGTATCGGTGAGCAATCTGGCATTTTTAAACAATGATAGGGCTTTAGTTTAGAAATCGATTTTCATTTGGTTTTTAGCCCATCATTCAATTAGTTGGGCTGGAACTTCTCGGCTCTCATATCCAGTTTTAAGCGTTGCTGGCATGCCAGTTTATTAAATGATATTCCTTGTTAACTGACAACGCCCTCGCTCAGTCTCAGCATCAGTTTTGGCTTGGCTCACTGACAAGCGAGACATTGACATGAATATTCACTTTTGCGAATTGGATTTGCCGACACTTAATAAAGCTGCATGTTAATATTCGTCCCGACCTCCGCTCACTTGTCACTCATAAAACTCACACCCCAAAAGAGCCACATGTGTGTGTGTGTAATTTCATATTTGTGGTAAATTTTGTACCAACTCAATGCCCATTTAATTTTAAAGCCCTCTCCATTGTGTCGCCCCCGCCGGGCTCTCAAATATTATTGAGCGAAATAATTGATATAAAAAATAAATAAATTATCGAAAATTTAATTACCTGATGGCTATTTGCTTTGGCTGACGTCTGTTTTAATTGGTATCGATGCGACAATGGCGATGACAAGTGCATGTGGCCTAAAAACGACAAGAGGTTAAAATTCCAGCTCAATTATTATTGTTCATATCGTATTAAATAATGCAGACAAAATGTGTGTGTGTAAATGACTGGCGGCACGTTCATATTTTTGAGGTCAAGAAAATTTACAATTCAATCAGCGGCCGTGTCAAAACCGCCAACGACCGAGCTGCCGCATCCGCAATCGCTAAAAATTAATTTCAATTTCATTGCAGCGCCGCCGCGAACCCACGGAGAACTGATGGATGCACAGAGTCCTCCTCATTTCGCGGAGATTGAGGTGGATATGCCCGGCCGCAGTGAGGAAAAAAAAAATCTGAAGCACGGCCAGCTTGTCGGGTCGAGTGAAATATGCAGATCAACTGGGCTGTCAAGGGGCCGAGAGTGCGGTCGGTGTAGAGTGTGGAGGAGTGTGGAGTGTATTTTCAGCAAAAGCCAAACATTTATGAAAATGCAAAAGCGTTTTTAAGGTTTACCCCAGGTAAGCTGCAACAGCAGAAACACCAGCAACACCCCAGACCCCGCCAGCAACTGCACAACGATATTAATGTGAATGGCTCGTTGGCTGGCAAGGGAATAACTCAACTGAAACTGAACTAAACTGGCAGCAGCTGAAGGGGCAGAGCGATGCCAAAAAACAGAGCATGAATTGCGGTTTAAGCATTGAATTATGAATATTTCTTTACCACGACCCCGACCTGGTTTCCTGCACCGCATCGCTGCAGGGGAACATTTATCATCCTGGCAGCCGAGATTCTGATTAAAAGCGAGAAATGTTTCGCAATAATCCCCGGCCCGGTAAACTTATTCACAAAATGCTAAAATCGCGTCTCTCCAAATGTACGCATCAGATTGCAAGGAAATCTATGCCGCGAGTGCCTCGCAGAGTCTTGTGCATTTCCCCGCTCCGCCGAGCCCTTTATTTAGCTGAATGATTACGTATAATGAAGAGCAGGAAATTTTCATTCAATTTTTGGAGCAATTCACTCGCTTCTTATGCTAAATGGCAATGGCATTATATTAATTCGACAAAAGCCGGAAACTTTCGGCCAGAGTCGAGTCTGTTCTGGCCGTCCAAGAGCTCAGCTCAACCCGATACCGGGAACCTCAGTCAACCCAGCCAGCGGCATAATTGGCACAACTTTTGCTCGGTTAGCACGAAAACTCATTTATTTCAGCGCAATCAACATACTATACTGTGTATATATAGGACACTGTCTCACTGTGGGGCGGACAGAAAGTGGAAGTTATAGCAATTAGCGGACCCAACTGAATGGAGCCGAAAGAATTAGGCAACAATCCAGACGCTCGTAGCCAGGCAACGCGGCAAAAAGTCCAGAAAATGGCAACCCAAGCCGATTGAAGGGAGCCTGTCATGAAAGGATATTTATCTTTCACCTAAACAAGACTTTCTTGCTCTATGATAGCCCTATTGCTGTGCATGAAAAAGGTATAAATAGTCCATATTCTAAACAGTTGAGTATTTTTATCAGCAGCATCAAACTAATTAAGCAAATACTTTAGTAATTAGGGCCAAAGTTGACCTTTTCTGACACCATTTAACGTAAAGGAACTATATTTAGAACTAGAAAAGTGTACTTTTAATGATTTTAATGTATGTCGAAAGCAGCATAATTTCAGATAAGTTCACGAGATAATACTGCAGTGTATTTCAGTACCTAAAAGCTGCACTAATTATATTTACCCAGACTTTGTATCTAGTTTTTTAATACAAAACTCATATAAAAATTATTTTTAATAGCAATTACAGTCAGTTTTTAATCCCTTATGATATTATATCCTAATATTAAACTTAAAAAGTTATATTTTAAGGCTCTTTATAAAGTCAGTACACCCAAATTGAACTCTCCACTAATATTTAATATCTCAAATATATCAAGAACAAAGGGGTAATTAGCTGATTGTCCCATTCAGGCCTTTTTAATTCCCCCTTATTCCCCCCGGAACATGTTGCAATTACCAACGGCTGAAAGTGTTCTCACAACATTTTTGGTCTCGCTGAATATTCATATATATTCGAGTGGCTACCTTGTATTGATTTATTGAATTTTATCCTTTTTTATCCAGAAGCCAACTACTGACCGATCCATTTATGGAACTCATTAAAGTCTATTCATTTATTGCCTGTATACGAGCTCCATTTGGCATTGTGTGTGACAGGCTTTTGTTTACTTTCCGATGCTTGGTCTACCGAAAAAATGAGTTTGTCATTTAATTAAGTCGGCAGACAGAAAATAATTTGCGCAATTTATGCACGACGCAAATTTGCATAATGCAGCGTAACAAATCACAAATCAAATGTTTATTAATGCCCAGACATTGGCTAAAACAACCCGAAAGCCATATTAGAAACCCATGCGAGTGTGTGTGAGAGTATTTTCCCCTGTCCCCAACGGCCACCGAGCAATCCATATCAATATCATTTTGCATTTGGCCAAACACGCTTCGCTGGCCTGTCCCCATAAATTATGTGAAAACAACTCAATCAAAATGCAAACTGTCACAGAACAGCAGATCAGAGCAGAGCAGCCGGGAAAAATCCCAAACAAAACATACAAAAAATATATAGTATAAACAAGCAACTGGAAACAAATGAATTAGCCATATCTATGCGCGTGTGAGTGACGGCGTGATAACGCGTTATTACACTATAAAATCATTAATATGGCGGCTCTAATGTCCCGGATATGTAAATGCAGGCCTCCCCCGAACGGAATCGCTGCTCCTGTCACGCGAAACGCTTATAAAAAATATAGACAACGAGCCCAGAAAGGCGGCATTAGCCGCCTATAGTCGGGATCCTTTGACAACGCCTACCATTTGCCGCCATTACCCAACACTTGGGCCATAAAGCCTAGCCAGCTCACCAGCTCACTCGAGTGTGTGTGTGCGAGTGCCAAGGCAACGGAATCTATTAGTTTCCCGGCGAGGCTTGGCGAAAATTCCACTTTCCCTTCCACGGAAGAGGTGGATGGCGAAAGACAACGCACTGAGCGGCGACAAATCCGTAAATTTGATATGCGCAATTTGTTGGCAAACGAGGACCGAGACCGAGACGGAGACGGGGGAGTATACATATATATAACTACCGAACTGAAGCGCCTGGCAACCTGTTGCCTCTAACGCTTGTTACGCACTTTTATGACGCCAGCGGGTGGGACTCACCTCGAGTGGATTGCGTGTGCGTCGCCATCCAACGCCACCAGGCAGGCCAGAAAACAACCTCAAAGTAGACCTCATAAAAGGTAATATGCCACATGACTCGCTGATGGAACCCACTCTCATACAAATTGCAGACTGCTATAACATAATCATCCTGGCGACACACCGGATGGGTTGCTTCGCAGTTCGTATTCGGCAAACAATTTGCGAAAGGGAAGTTGGAGGGGAAATTTAAAAACTAACACGAAAATATTTCAAGTTTCTTGCAAGGAATAAAAGTAATTTAAATGTAATATTTAAATTCAATAAAATTTAAATTTCCAAAGTATGAATCGGAACCAGGACTTGCATCCTTAGTCCAGTTCGGATCTCACATTTCAAGTTTTGCAATTTGTTTAGAAAATGCGATTTGTTCTTTTAATATTTTGTGCCATCCCACATTTGATATGCAGAGAAAAGGAGGAGCATAAGTTCGGCCAAGGCCCCGATATACTTATAGTTTATACTTGGGAAAATCTCAGGGCAAGACAAAAGTAGCCAACTTAACTTTGAAACTTTCTTTTTTAGCCGTTTCTGTTGCAGCTTTGGCATTTCTTATGCAGCTGATTGCATTTGGCCACGGGCAAAAAAGAAGGCAACAGCAACGGGGACTGCAACTGCTATTGCTACTACTGCCGTTGCTGATACTGCAATTGAATTTTATAACAAACAATTTTACGCTTTAAGCACACTAGACCTGGCTTTTGTTGTAGCTACCAATGAGGCTGCTGCCTTGAAGTGCCCAGAGTGCGTCATTGACTTTGCCTTTGGCCAAAGGCACTTCTCTACTTTTTTCTATTTATCGTTATTTACCATTAGCCGACTCTCATCCCTTGCAGGCCGCCTTCAAGGACCTGGACTTGGCTCGGACTCTGTAACGACCACAATAAGCATTCAGCGCTGACTTCCCTGCCTTCCATTGGCCTCTGTTTCCTGCGGCTTCCTTTGCAGCCTTGAGTGTAATCGTGGCCCGCAAGCATGCACAAAGTTTAATAGAAAAATGGGGGAATAAAAACAAAATCAATTCACCTACCCGGGCAATTAGGGAAAAGGGAGTTATAAAAGTTCAAACTTATGCAAATGGTCCTTAGTAAATTAAGTTTTGGCCAAGGAAGCTCTGGTGAAAGAGTTCTTAAGCTATATGATTGAGCCTGTGACTTTATCAAATTTAATGCTTTAAGATTAAGTCATTGCTCAAAATCTAATTCCCTCTCCCAGCTCTCCAACTGATTTACTTACCATTATAAATATTTCGTGTAGATTTATCACATAAGCATTTTTCGCAGGCCATAAGCACTTCTTGGCCCCGAGAATGATGACAAAGTTTGCACGCCCTCTGCTCCAGCTTTTCTGTTCCGACCCACTTCTAATCCCATTCCCAGCCCCAAGTGTATAATTATTCTATCTGTCGCATATGCATGAGATCAGCTATAAGGCAGCACTCGCGCGTCCTGCCCTTCGTCTCCGTTGCCATCGCCATCTCCGTCTTAGTCCTTCTGGCAGGCTCTGTATATGTATTCATATGCGTATGCCGAAACTTCCTTGCCCTCCCACTCCGCTGCTTCATTAGCAACTTTGTGCGTATTCATTAGGAAGCAGCAACAGGGGGCTCTGTGCCCCAAGAACCCCTCCTGCTCGGAGGCCCACAGCTGCGACTGGTTGATAAAAGATTTATGCGAGCAATGATAACCCGACAAAACGCCCACTACCATAGACATACTGCCTGTCCTGGATAAATAAACCAGAAAAAATGAAGGGAAAACAAAAAATTTGAGAA